TAGATGTGACTAAGAGACCCCCACAACATGTCTAGTTGTGACTAAGAGACCCCCACAACATGTCTAGATGTGACTAAGAGACCACCACAACGTGTCTAGATGTGATTAAGAGACCCCCACAACGTGTCTAGATGTGACTAAGAGACACCCACAACATGTTTAGATGTGACTAAGAGACACCCACAGCATGTCTGATGTGACTAAGAGACCCCCACAACATGTCTAGATGTGACTAAGAGACACCCACAGCATGTCTAGATGTGACTAAGAGACCCCCACAACGTGTCTAGATGTGACTAAGAGACCCCACAACGTGTCTAGATGTGACTAAGAGACACCCACAACATGTCTAGATGTGGCTAAGAGACCCCCACAACATGTCTAGATGTGGCTGAGAGTCACCTAGGGATGCTGCCACAGAGGTGTCATGGTCAGCATTACACCACTGGCCGATGGTTCCATCTCCCGGCGCGGCAGTTGCGAACCCATGAGAGCACCGCTCGAATCTCCCAGCTTGTGCACATAGTTCGTTGATCGGTAGGTCGCGTGTGATGGGGGTAGTGTGTTGGTACCCCCGCCTCTTCCGAGAAGTCAGGCCAGTGTGGAAGAGTAGGCCAAGTACCTCTAGAGGACTCCCTCAAGTGGAGGCGATTCTGCTAGCAGTGGCCTAAGCAAGTAATATTTTGTTTAAGAGACAGCCACGACCTTTTAGACAACTTCCTGGTTCATAATAAAGGTTTTGGGTTAGATCGCGTTTATTTATAAATGTGTCGTAACCCTCCACCACCCGACACGGCCAATCAGCAAAAAAAGTGTCACGTTGACAAAAGACAAATAATCCACTCTTTTGTCAACGTGACACTTTTTTTGCTGATTGGCCGTATCGGGTGGTGGAGGGTTACGACACATTTATAAATAAACGCGATCTAACCCAAAAACCTTTATTATGAATAATATTGGTCGCGAAAGCCTACGTGTTAAACTTCCTGGTTCATTCTTGATTTGCAACTTTCGTGAGTGCAGGAACCCATACTCTTTGCTTCTTTCAGTAAAGTCACGTGATTTACTTTATTTCTACCTACGTGACTTTACTGAAAGAACCAAAGAGTATGGGTTCCTGGTTCATGTTGAGTCCGCGCTGTTCCCCCATCAGCATTTCCGCCGATTGCGTTGACAATGGAGCCCTTGAATACACGAAGGCACACGAGCAGTCGGAGAAGTACGGCAGTCAGTATCCAGGAATTGCATTGAACACAATATAATGACAGTGCCATCGGGTCAGATGAGTAAAGCACAACGTTCAATGGGGGTTCGCCGCGACGACATTGAGCGTGGCCACAGTCCTGAAGCCAACAAGCACCCCCAGCTGCCAAAGGGTGGCTTGCTATGGGGATGCCACCCGTCCGGGTTTTCCCAGGATCGTCCTCGTATTGAGCAGGCGGAAACTGTTCTGGGAAATCTGACATTCGTCCTGGGAAATTAAAAGTGCCGGATTATTTCAGTTGCGTAATCGTACTCTCCAGGTCCTTTGACATTTTAAATCTGTCCCTTGACTGCTTCGTCGCCAGCCGTGCCAGATGCTAAACTCCCCACTGCCGTTTCACCTCCATTATTTTCAGTTCAGGTGTTTAATCGTGATGTACGAATAATACTAGGGCTTAATCAGAGTTACGTTTTATTTCGGCACACGACCGGTAATAAAACTCATAACTCATCGACGGCTTCAATTAGCGAACCGCACGCGGCACGATGATTGACAACAGCGCCCACCGTGTTGCATCTCAGCTGCTCGCTATAAGTCACTGTCTATTTACATTTCGGAGGGCCCTTGAAATCCGAAGCCCTGGGATGAAGCCCCTAAAGCCACTGCACTAACGCGACCCTGCTCAAGGCAACGCGTGCGTCCACACGCAGTTCTCCCCTCTTCCACCATTGCGCAAGATCGTCTTCTAACTTGTACGTACATGTGTATGTTGGACTTCTTTCGCACCAGACGTAGCTAACCGCGCTAATTGGAGGCGTGGGAGATGGATAACAAACTAAACGCAGAGAGCATTTTTCGAAAGAAATGAGCTTGTCAATCTGGATGATTGAAAAGTGCAGAGCCCCAGTGGCTTCCTAATATCGGAAGGAAGAACGTTCCAGACGGTCGCAGAAGCGCGTCCGGAAGCGCGCGATGATGCGGTGACCGCCGGCTTTGTTCGATGGCCCTGCAGCCAAAAGCCCCTGCGAGGATGTCTGGAGCTCCCGCGATGCGTCCCAGTTTTTGTACTCCGGAAGTGGCAACCCGCCTGCGGTGAGTGTTTGCGACAGGTTTGCCCTGGTTGGCAAGTGCGCTTTGCGTTGGTGTTTGGTATTCGGGTCTATTTTGCTGCTGTGTCTGGGGGATGGTTATTGCGACATATTCGTGTTCTGCCCGTGTGAGCGTCCCACTGTCCCAGCGCCGTGTTCGCGTAGCCAAGGGGTGGCAGCCCTGGCGGCTGCGCCGCCTGGCCCGGATCGCTCCCACGCGGCCGGCATCGGCCACGGGGAGGGAGACGAAGACGACGCAAACCCCACAGGGCACCCTGACTCAGAAAGCGCGAGCGAGCGAGAGAGCGAGCGCACGCGCGGTGACATTCACGTACGCATGTATGTACGTTGAACTTCTTTCACACCGTACGGGAGGCGGGGCCACGGGGGGGGGGGGGCGGGGGAGGGTGTGCTGGTGTCTGGCTGCTGCCACAGCCCCCGCTCTCTGAGCACGAGGATGTTTCACGAGATTCAGATGGCCAGAGACCCCAGTTTGACTCCCTGCCACGGCTATCATCAGTGGGAAGAAAGACCGCGCACGAGACCGTGCGGCTCTCCGCTGTGCTTTCGGGTCGTGCCGCGCGTTGTTCGGCATGAAGTCCGACGTTTTGCTCCGCACGCCGGAAGCCGAAATCAGTTCCCGCAGGAGCTCCCGGCACAAGTCGGAACTGTCATCAGTCAGCGACATTTGAACAAGTCCGGGGCTCCCCATCTACCCCTCTTCCTTCACCTCTGCTCAGCAACCTGCAATGACCAGTGTGGTGAAGTATGGTCACACAACCCCCATAGCTGACACAATGGTAGGAGACCTTCATCCACTGGTGTATTCATGTACATTATTTGCGATGCAACATAAAAATCGATATGAATTAACAAATCGATGTTTGGCCACATACTTGGTCTACAGATCTCACTATGGAGCAATAGTTTAATTTTAGTCTTGTTTTTAGTTTCTCTCATGCAGCCCAGCAGTGGAATGACAAATCGCTGTGAATTGTAATTTATTTATTTCGTACGATCATCGGCCAGAAGGGCGGGCGGCTCGGCGCGGGCAGCACGCCCGGCCCGGCAGACGCAAAACGCGGGCATGTGAACACAAATTGCGCAAATTACTGCCGACAAGATAATGGAAGTTTCCGTACGACGGAGACATTCACTGGAGGGGGTCCCCCCCCCCCTCCCCCGAGGAATAAGCGGCGCGCAGCGATGCCTCAATTCATCAAATCGATCCCCACGCTCCTGACGCGCGAGCCGAGAGAGACGCATTCCATGTCGCGACGCCCAATTAGACCGCAGCACATCGGCAGGTCGCGTGTGATGGGGGTATCGTTTTGGTACTCCCACAAGTATGCACGAACTATGTTGAACCTCTTTCGCACCGCACAGAGCCAACCCGTGCTAATCGGAGGTGCGGGAAAGACGTCTGGCCGGCGTGGAAGAGTAGGCCAAAAGCGTCCCTACATTGACCCCCTAAATTAGAGCTCCGTTTCGGGGAGACCCTCCTGCCAGGGGTGGCGTGAGCGAGCAGTTGTTGGGCTGCGCCTTTACCTAAACCTGCATGACGAGTAGCTGCTGTTGCCAACTCTGCGATTTTGTCGCTGGATCTGGCGGCTTTTTGGGTTTCTCTTAGCGACGAAATTTATTGTCAAAGCAAACAAGCGACAGATCAAGCGACTCTCAGTGCAGGCAACATTCTTCAGAGTCAGGAGTGGTTTCCACGTGTCGATTGAGGACCCTGTATCAGTCAACTTTGTCTATTAATTATTTGTCTCGTCACATTGGCACAACCTTAGAAGCCTATCTCGAGACTTTTAGCGGCTCTTCTGGCAACTTTCCGCTTCATGGAGCTGGAAACGCTGCCCAGCGTGCGTCTCTCTGGTCCTTAGTAGGCATCGAGTCATTCGTTCACCCTCCAGGCTTCCACGAATTGATACAATAATCAAAGGTCGTACATTTGATTGCAGAATGCAACCCGCTACATATGTTTATTCTATTGGTGGTGGATGTGGCGCCTCTCATGGCCGTAGGGCGCTCTGTAAACCAATTACCCAGAACGGACGGGAATAATAGAATAACGTATGCTTTACACGCGCGAAGTGTCGCGTGCATCGTGAGTGTAACAGTCAATGTGGTGGATTGATGCATCGTCACGTGCTCATTATTCAGGAGAACCCTCCGCGATTCTCCGATGGAGATTTCAATTACCTTGTCTGCTGCGATAACAATTACCTTGTCTGCTCTGACGTAATTCGTGATTTTGTGAGATCTTTACTTTGGCTCTTTGAACCGTAGGCACTTACAATAAAACCTGACAATTTATATAATGCCATTTCATTCGTTTTCTGTTTTTTTTTGTTTTACCGAGGAAAGCCTCACTGAGTCTCAAGACTCTTTTTTCAGGAGGGTCCTGCCCTGTGCAATCCCCGTTGTATACATTTTTAGCCATTTTCCTTTTGTTTACATTGTGATGTTTGGTCAATAGCAGTTACATTATAGTTTTACTATGGGAGGAAACTGGAGAACCCAGAGAAAAACCATGCACAACAGGGGGGGGGGGGGGGCTGGGGAGAACACAAAAAACCCTGCACGGAGAGGCGCCTGAGTGTTACCACACTGAGGCACCCTGCCGCCCAAATGTTACCAGGAGGTGTGGTATACATTCTACAATTATGGTGATGATGACAGACTGGAGGCTTGCTGAGACTCACCTGGTGAGGAGGAGGAGGAGGGTCCATGGGCAAAAGCTGCTCCAGGACCATAGCCCCGACCAGGGTCGCGTCGCTCTCCTCGTGCGCGCATCTGGGGACTTCTCCGCGGTCGGCTGGAACTCGCCGTGACCCTTGACCCGCGTCGTCTGCGCGAGGGGGCGCGTTCATCCTGCGGTGGCGCAGCGGCACGGTCAGCGTGACGTCAGCTGGCGTCGACCCTACCATTGTGACGTCAGCTGGCGTCGACCCTACCATTGTTGCAGCCGTTAGTATGATGATGCTCGTTTACCCAGGAAAGCCTCGCTGAGTCTTAAGATTATTTTTCAGGAGGGTGCTGCCACGCTATTATCTGTTAAGAGGAGGAGGGGATGTTGCTCTTAATAAGGCCCATTTGCACCTGTATAAGCTATGTCAAGCGTTTCACAGTGTTAACATTATATCTTAGCGTGGCAGGGTAGCAGAGGAGTGGCACTTATACCTCACAGAAAAAGGCCCTCGGTTTGATTCCTGACTCGGGCACCTTGCTGAGTGGAACATGTACAGTATATTCGCAAGCTCATATCCTGCTTTGGCTGAAAACACAGAAATATAATTGGTGCTGGCCAAAAATTCCAATAAAGAACGTTCCTAAAAATGAGTCTTGGGAGTCAGTGTGGCGTTCCTGAGTACACAAGTGCAGTACAAATTTTCAGACTTTCTAAACAGACACAATTCAATGCGGGAATCATCTCAGGAAGATGCCTGCCGGCAGACCTGGGCCAAATATACCCAACATTCAAATGACAAATCAGAAGAGGAAATGTAATTAGATATAAATGACCAATTAATCACGTCTCGTGTAGTTTAAGATTTAAATTACATGTTACAAATGTACTGATATTACACATTTAAATTAAGTGCAATTTAGATACTCCCCATCTATGCAATCACACATTTAAAAGCAGACAGGTAATATAATAGTACTGTTTAGTGGCATACACAGCAGCGTCGTCATCACTCAAGCAAATTGCAGCTCTCACAGACGAGCGGCAAGATAGCAGCCAGGCACTGAGCCGGCGCGACCAACAATTGGCCAAGTTCTATGCTCCTCTGTATATTAAAATGCTTTCAGGCAATGAATGAGCGCTCATACAAACTCGAGGAACCGGTTGCACGTGAAAAACCCAGGCGTGCAAGGGAGCAACACTCCGTCCCGTACATAGGGGGACAGATGATATTCGTCTCCGCACGTTGCTGTGTACTTCGTTCTCCTAGCGAACCAAAGTTCGGCTCCTCCTCGACGACCCACTGGTAGGGAGTGTCGCAACAGCGCTGGAATAGAGGCAGCCACGTGCAGAGACCCACCACCGCCCGATTAGGGTTGCCAAAAAACTAAAAAACTGGGACACATCATGGGAAGATCATCTCACAATTCAAGAAGATCTACATGTAAATGCATCGTCTTGACCGATACATCTTCATTATTATTATTATTATGATGATCACGACTGCACAACTGACAAACACCGTGTGTGTTTTAATCCCCACAACATCAGCTACCCCAATACGGCCTGTCCTGTCCTGCCCGCTGCAGCGCTTCCAGCCACGCAAGTCCCCGACACTCACAGCCCGGGCATGGCTTCTGCAGGCCCAGCGCAAACACAAAATCGATGGCGTAATTATATTTCAGCAAAGATTCAATTCCCAATATAACGCGTGGGGAGAGAGAGTGGTGGGGGGGGGGGGGGCCCAACCGCCCCTGGGCCCTGCTGAACTCACGAACACGCGGAGGGGAGCGGTTGGGAGCTGGCGCTACCGTGACCTCGGGCACTCCACCAACACCACGTCTCGCGAGCAGCGCGACACGAGCCAGAACCGCGAAGAAATAAATATTTGATTAAGCAATTATTCTCTAATGGAAATGTGTTTTGCCGTTTTATTCTGTTTAAATTTCCCGGTCTCCTAACTGCCGCGGCAACCTCTCTCCCTCTCTCTCTCTCTCCGGATCAATATCGTTTATTAAATACATACCCATATTCCCATCATCATTAATCATTCTAAACAGTCCGTGTGTGTGTGTGTGTTTCCTCCTGTATCTGTGCACGAGCAGCCAGGCGGTCGCCCGGGTTAATGTCGGCGCTGCTCGGGAATTGGGAAATAAGGTGGGGGGAGGGGGGCGCGGGGGGTGGGGGAGGGGGCGCGGGTGGTGGGGGCGGGGGGGGGGCGCGGGGATGGGGGGCACGGGGGTGGGGGGCGCGGCGGGGGGGCTCCCATTAAACGCGGCCAAATTAATCAGCAGTGACCAGGTGCTGCCACCGATAACAAGTATCCGTATTCGCGCACGCGCGCGCGCCTTATCGCCACCGCACTCCCTTTATGAGCCATTACGGGGTTCTAAAAGTGTGAATTAATGGTTTCTCTCGCTCTCACCCTGCACAATGTTGGTCCGTGACCACGGTCAAACGCGCAAATATCTCTGTTTGCAGCGATGGACTCTGCGTGGCTCGATGCAGAGGAGGATGAGCAAGAGGCTACGCAAGTCCACCTCTGGTTTTCCGGTCTCCGGTGACGACGCGTGCAGGTGGGGACGAATTTGTTAATTAGATCGTAATGGTGCCCGTGCCGTGCGACGGTGGTGGTGGTGGTGCGGATGGGGGAGCGGTGTGTCTTTTTATGTTAATGACAATCGCCAGGTATTTTCAGAATTGCCCAGGTGAAGTTGTTTATCACACATACGCACATATGCCGTGGGGTTTTTTTCCCTCCACAGCGAGGTCAGAAGACTCGACGAGAAACCGTACTGCGTCTGTGCCTGTTAAATTCCAACCTATGGCAGGAGCGGGGTTGGCGTGGGGGGGGGGGCTCCTCCTTTCCAATGTCAGACCCCCTCTTCAGCGCCTGGGTCCACTAACGGCCCATGAGCTCGGTACAATGAAGGCCGGAACAGTACACGAGGGGGTGGGTGACCAGCACCACGCCCGACCGCCTTTGTCTCCTCAGTGGCGATGTAAACACACCGCACCAGGTACTCATTTGAGGCTGAGTGGACCTAGGGGAGGCCCAGGACCGGTTCAAATAATCGTCACTGGTGTTGGCTGTGAGCGTGAATCGATCTTGGGTTGCCGGGTTCGAAGCGCAGCACGCTAACCGCTACACTACCGGTACAATAGCACCGCTTGCACACGCTATGCAATTATGTTGTCGGTGGGTCTTGATGTAAGTATACGGCTCTCTGTGTGAGACGATGGGTCTCAATGGAAATCTATGGGCCTCGATTTCAATCGATGAGTCTTTATGGAAGTGTATGAGTGGCCTGACGTGGGCCCGCCCTCATATATCTTCCACCTCGATAGCCCCGTGCCTGCACGTAGGGCCGCGACGCAGTCGCACCGCCTGCACACTCAATAACGTCCACAACCTCCCCCCACACCAGAGATTAGCGCGGGCCATTGTGGGACGCGTGAGATGTCACCGTGAGATGTCACCTTGAGATGTCACCGTGAGATGTCACCGTGAGATGTCACCTTGAGATGTCACCGTGAGATGTCACCTTGAGATGTCACCGTGAGATGTCACCTTGAGATGTCACCTTGAGATGTCACCGTGAGATGTCACCGTGAGATGTCACCGTGAGATGTCACCTTGAGATGTCACCTTGAGATGTCACCTTGAGATGGCACCGTGAGATGTCACCGTGAGATGTCACCTTGAGATGTCACAGTGAGAAGTCACCGTGAGATGTCACCTTGAGATGTCACCTTAAGATGTCACCGTGAGATGTCACCGTGAGATGTCACCTTGAGATGTCACCGTGAGATGTCACCGTGAGATGTCACCGTGAGATGTCACCTTGAGATGTCACCTTGAGATGTCACCGTGAGATGTCACCTTGCGATGTCACCGTGAGATGTCACCGTGAGATGTCACCGTGAGATGTCACTGTGAGATGTCACCGGCAGATTCAACATCTCACGGTGGCCCCCACTGAGCGAAGAGTTTTTTTTTCTTGCCGGTTGCCAGCACTGTTCATGAACACACGCACGCACACAAGTTCAACATACACACAAAGACAAAGATCCCCCGTATAACCTTAGCATATTGATGGTGCGAGTGCTGTTACCACAAGAGGGGGTGCGAGGTCAGCACCACACCCGGCCGTCTTTGTCTCCCCAGCGGCGATGTTTATACACCGCCGCACCGGCTACAGACACACGACTCCACAACCAATGGTACCGCGCTTCCTGCAACGTGAAGGCAAGAAGCACCGAACCCACTCCCTACCAAGGACAGGGCCGGTGGCTTTACACGGCCGGGTGAGGGGGTGGGGGGCCTTTAGGGGCTGCAGTCTGGGGGCCAAGAGTGTTGAGGGTTGAATCGTAAATCGTGACACTGAAGCGCGTTGGTAAATCCTCTCGTGTCATTTTGCAAAGCCGTGGCGTCGTGATGTCTCTCACTGCCGGTTAACGTGTTAGAATTATAATTGTTAGAATTATAATTGTTAGAATTATAATTGTTAGAATTATAATTGTTAGAATTATAAATCTTAGAAATATAATTGTTAGAATTATAATTGGTGTGTTCCCCTTTGAGGTCCGATTGAGCTTTAAAAGTGGTACTGCATATCACATTTAAACAAAAAGCTGAAATTCAGTAACCAAAGTAAAAAAGAACAATGGAGTGGTGTTTAACATCGGGCATTGGTAGCAATAAATCTCGCTAGTGTCAATCACCACACGCGTGGCACCGCACGCCACCCATTATCACTGCCACAGACACACCACCCATCTCACCGCCACGGACTCACCACCCATCATCACTGCCACGGACTCACCACCCATTCTCACCGCCACGGACTCACCACCCATCATCACTGCCACGGACTCACCACCCATTCTTGCCGCCACAGACTCACCACCCATTCTCACCGCCACGGACTCACCACCCATCATCACTGCCACAGACTCACCACCCATTCTTGCCGCCACAGACTCACCACCCATTCTCACCGCCACGGACTCACCACCCATCATCAATGTCACAGACTCACCACCCATCATCACTGCCACGGACTCAACACCCATTAACACCGCCACGGACTCACCACCCATTAACACCGCCACGGACTCACCACCCATCCTCACTGTCACGGACTCACCACCCATCCTCACTGTCACGGACTCACCACCCATCCTCACTGTCACGGACTCACCACCCATCCTCACTGTCACGGACTCACCACCCATCCTCAGTGTCACGGACTCACCACCCATCCTCACTGTCACGGACTCACCACCCATCCTCACTGTCACGGACTCACCACCCATCCTCACTGTCACGGACTCACCACCCATCCTCACTGTCACGGACTCACCACCCATCCTCACTGTCACGGACTCACCACCCATCCTCACTGTCACGGACTCACCACCCATCCTCACTGTCACGGACTCACCACCCATCCTCACTGTCACGGACTCACCACCCATCCTCACTGTCACGGACTCACCACCCATCCTCACTGTCACGGACTCACCACCCATCCTCACTGTCACGGACTCACCACCCATCCTCACTGTCACGGACTCACCACCCATCCTCACTGTCACGGACTCACCACCCATCCTCACTGTCACGGACTCACCACCCATCCTCACTGTCACGGACTCACCACCCATTCTCACCGCCACGGACTCACCACCCATCATCACTGCCACAAACTCACCACCCATTCTTGCCGCCACAGACTCACCACCCATTCTCACCGCCACGGACTCACCACCTATCATCAATGTCACAGACTCACCACCCATCATCACTGCCACGGACTCAACACCCATTAACACCGCCACGGACTCACCACCCATTAACACCGCCACGGACTCACCACCCATCCTCACTGTCACGGACTCACCACCCATCCTCACTGTCACGGACTCACCACCCATCCTCACTGTCACGGACTCACCACCCATCCTCAGTGTCACGGACTCACCACCCATCCTCACTGTCACGGACTCACCACCCATCCTCACTGTCACGGACTCACCACCCATCCTCACTGTCACGGACTCACCACCCATCCTCACTGCCACAGACTCACCACCCATCATCAATGTCACGGACTCACCACCCATCCTCACTGTCACGGACTCACCACCTAATCTCACTGCCACGGACTCAACACCCATTAACACCGCCACGGACTCACCACCCATTAACACCGCCACGGACTCACCACCCATCCTCACTGTCACGGACTCACCACCCATCCTCACTGTCACGGACTCACCACCCATCCTCACTGTCACGGACTCACCACCCATCCTCAGTGTCACGGACTCACCACCCATCCTCACTGTCACGGACTCACCACCCATCCTCACTGTCACGGACTCACCACCCATCCTCACTGTCACGGACTCACCACCCATCCTCACTGCCACAGACTCACCACCCATCATCAATGTCACGGACTCATCACCCATCCTCACTGTCACGGACTCACCACCTAATCTCACTGCCACGGACTCACCACCCATTCTTACCGCCACTGACTCACCACCGATGTTTGTCCAGCGCTCTTGTGAAGGTTGCCACTCTACTGCGGCACTGTATAAATGACTACGGACGTTAAGAAGGTAAATGGAAGTACAGCGAGTGAACCCTCATAAACAATTACAGCTCTGGGCACCCCATCAAACTTCAAGCGACCTCTCATCACGGGCGCGCCGGTAACCACAACAGACGCACACGTGCGGCGCACGCACACACACGGACAGTGTTCGGGAAACAATGAAAAAATAACAGAACAAACTCAACACATTGCCCAGTAACACAATAGCCTTCAAAAGAACAACATATAATAGGTGACGTTTCAGGCAATGGGCCTTCGTCATAGCTAATAGATGCGCCTGATAGGCGGTATAGAATGAGAGACGCGGGAATGTGTTTCCGCGTGAATTTATCGCCTCTGCTGCCCTTCGTGCCACCGACGAATCTTCATTCTTGCTGAACTTTAAGAGAGCGTGGCACGGCTCGAGCCAGTCCACGCTCAGAGGCAGTGCCGGGTTATCCTAGTAGCACAAGTAGCTACATATGTAGCACAAGTAGCTACATATGTAGCACAAGTAGCTACATGTGTAGCACAAGTAGCTACATGTGTAGCACAAGTAGCTACATATGTAGCACAAGTAGCTACATGTGTAGCACAAGTAGCTACATGTGTAGCACAAGTAGCTACATGTGTAGCACAAGTAGCTACATATGTAGCACAAGTAGCTACATGTGTAGCACAAGTAGCTACATATGTAGCACAAGTAGCTACATGTGTAGCACAAGTAGCTACATGTGTAGCACAAGTAGCTACATGTGTAGCACAAGTAGCTACATGTGTAGCACAAGTAGCTACAGATGTAGCACAAGTAGCTACATATGTAGCACAAGTAGCTACATATGTAGCACAAGTAGCTACATATGTAGCACAAGTAGCTACATATGTAGCACAAGTAGCTACATATGTAGCCACGGGCCCCACACGAGCTGAATCCGGCACTGCTCAGAGCACAGCTGAAGCAGCTCGCACGCCGCGTCGTACGAGCAGCCATCGCACCTCCGATCAGCGCGGCTGGCTACATACGGTGTGAAAGAAGTCCAACATACATACATGCAATTTAATCATGAACGCGTACGACCCGTGCACAATCTAAACTGGGTTGAGAATGACAATCATTGACGCTCATTAGACGTCTTTCATAACCATCGTCTAAAGGACGCCGTTCATGGAAAGGATAAATAAATAGATACATAAAAAAAATGGATAAATAAATACATAAATAAATAATTTGGTGGCAAACAAAGGAGCCAGAGAGGAACAAAGCTCGTTCGATGAAAGTTGTTTTAAAGAGATCATTCGTGTAAGTGGGGACCTGCGAACGAAGGGAGTTCCACAACCAGGGGGGGGGCACCAGTAGGGAGTTCCACAACCAGAGGGGGGGCACCAGTAGGGAGTTCCACAACCAGAGGGGGCACCAGTAAGGAGTTCCACAACCAGAGGGGGGGGGGCACCAGTAGGGAGATTCACAACCATGGGGGGCACCAGTAGGGAGTTCTACAACCAGGGGGGGCACCATGAGGGAATCCCACAACCAGAGGGGGGGCACCAGGAGGGAATTCCACAACCAGGGGGGGGGCACCAGTAGGCGGATTCACAACCAGAGGGGGCACCAGTAGGGAGTTCCACAACCAGAGGGGGGGCACCAGTAGGGAGTTCCACAACTAGAGGGGGGGGCACCAGTAAGGAGTTCCACAACCAGAGGGGGGGCACCAGGAGGGAGTTCCACAACCGGGGGGCCACCGCGGAAGAGGCCCCACTGCAGGGCCCGCCAGCGCTCTGGAAGCACGTGTACAATATTTATAAATAAATAATACAATCGTGGCCGTTAAAACCCTAGACAAGCAAAGGACGAGAATACCAATAATAATAATAATCACTGATAATAATCCGCTTGAGTCCTGACAATGTCTCAAATCTCTGCTGAATGAGATTTGTTCTTACAGCCACGCGGACCCAACCGAGCCCTCCCCACCGCCACCAGACCAGCTGGGGGCGAGAGAGGGCACCAGGCCACCTGCCGCGTGCCGCGTGCCGCTGAGCCACTCGAGAAGCGGCTCGCGCGCCGACTCGAGAGAGCCACGCGAGGGGTGACCCCGGGGCTCCTCGAGAGCCGCGCGCAATCTCCGCCACCAGGAGCCACTCAATTACCCCGCCGTTAGCTGGGTGGCGGCGGCGGGGCAAGTGCGTGGTCTGTGTGTGTGGGGGGTGAGTGTGTGTGTGTGGGGGGTGTGGGGGGTGCGTGGGTGGGGGGTGTGTGGGGTGTGTGTGTGTGGGGTGTGTGTGTGGTGTGTGTGGGGTGTCTGTGTGGGGTGTGTGGGGGGTGTGTGTGTGGGGTGTGTGTGTGGTGTGTGTGGTGTGTGTGGTGTGGAGTGTGTGTGGGGTGTGTGTGGGGTGTGTGTGGGGTGTGTGCGTGTGGGGTGTGTGTGGGGTTTGTGGGGTGTGTGTGTGTGGGGTGTGTGTGGGGTGTGTTTGTGTGGGGTGTGTGGTGTGGGGTGTGTGTGGGGTTTGTGGGGTGTGTGTGGGGTGTGTGTGGGGTGTGTTTGTGTGGGGTGTGTGTGGGGTGTGTGTGTGTGTGGTGTGTGTGGGGTGTGTGTGGGGTTTGTGGGGTGTGTGTGTAAAGGGGTGGAGGGGGTAGTGGGGGATGTAAACTTTTCGATGATCGTTACCACGGTCACGGACAAAACAAACGGAGTGACAGGAAGGCGGGAGGGGGGTGTAAATGGGGGGGGGGGGGGGGCTGAGTGAACGAAACGGGGGTAGCGATGACTGTAACGCCTGTGTGTGCGTGCTGGGGCGACTCACTAACAACTTCGCCGTGCGGAGAGAGGGGCACAGTGGTGGGCGGGTGGAGGGGGTGAACCCAGCCGCAGGGAGGCTGGGGGTGAGGATACAGAGGAGGGGAGGCAGATTCCCTGCCCCCGCCCACACATACACACCCCACACACACCCCACACACACACACCCCCCACACATACACCCCACACACACACACCCCATACACACACCCCACACACACACACCCCACACACACCACACACACCCACACCCCACAGATACCCCACATACACACCCCACACACATACACCCCACACACACACACCCCACACACACCCCACGCACACCCCACACACACGCCACACACATACCCCCATACACACACCCCACACACACCCATCCCACACACACACCCCACGCAGACATACCCCACACACACCACACACACACACACACCCCACACACACACGCCCCACACCCCACACACACACACCCCACACACACCGCACTCACACACCCCACAGCCATCCCACACACACACCCCACACACACACACCCCACACACACACACCCCACATAAACACACCCGACACACACACACCCCACACACACCCCACACACCCCCCACACACACCCCACACACCCCCCACACACACCCCACACACACACACACCTCACACAGACACCCCACACACACACACCCCACACACATCCCACACACACACCCCACACACACACACCCCACACACACCCCACACACACACCACACACACACCCCACACACACCCCACACACACACCCCACACAAA